CAGAAACATGCGTACGTACGGTTTTATAAATCTGAATTTTTTTTGGCGTACGCCATTTCCGCTTTTTGGCCGTACGTTCACTTTTAGTATGGTTTCCACGCAATCCTTTATAAATGAGACCCATGATCTCTTTTTAGTTCCATTACAATTTTAAATAAAATCATGACCTCAATAAGGACTAGTCTTACAGATTTTATAATTAGCGTTTGAGCATCAAACTTGATTTTATTATAAATGTAATCCCAAATTTCACATAATGAGTTAGAGACAGAATATTTTACTAACAAGACGGAATTTTTCTTTTAGTGCTGGGCTGTAAACGTGTTTATTTCTGTTAAAGTTCCACATCTAAACATGACGGCCTGTCAGGTCTGACGTGTTTAGAGAAACTGCCAATTAGAGAAATTATAGAGTTTTGCAAGCTTCGTTTTTGTAGTCACAAAGTTATAGCATGATTGAATAGTTATTTAGAGAGGATTACACTCGTAAAGATGTGTAAGTCAAATTAGATTCATTTTATGGTTATAAAGCCGTTCAAAAATAAAAAATAATGGATTTTTTTTCCCCAGAAACTGTTATAAGAAGACATTTTGAAAGAAACACTGTAAGTGCTAACAAATGTGGGAACCAGTGATATATTCTGTTGATTGAAAGTAAACTCTAGCAATCTTTCATCACAATAGATTTACTTTTCTAACATTCTTTTAATTAGATTAGAGCAAAATTTAGTCTGTCCTTATAACAATGTAAATGTTACATTTGTTGACAAAAGAGTAGTTTTACAAACTCATCTGAGGCTTTGGGGAAGATTTTTCTCACATTTCTGACATGTTATTGGATTTAGATGCATGCAGAAAGTGGGGGCTGAAACAGAAATAGGAGCACGAGTTGTTTTTATAATTAATCACCGGTTGAGTGGACAGAGCTGCCTTAGAGCCATGTAAAGTCAGGACTGTGGCCCAGTTTTTCACCTTTTGTTCCACTCTTTCACCAAGGTGATTTCCAGGTCACATAAACCCGAGACGTTCAGGACCACCCCCGCCCCCCACCCATCTGTTTGGTGAGCTGCAGTTTGCTGACATGTACTGTGGGAGAGACAGAGAGGAGGAGGAGGGGAGAGGGTGTGTAAGTTCAAGAGCTGAGCGTGAGAAGGCACCCACCGCCATGAGCAGAGGGAGGAGGACGGGAACTGGAGGGTGATGCAGCGAGAGAGGAGGAGGAGGAGGAGGAGGAGGAATGAAGAAAAGATAAAGAGAAAAAAAAAGACTGATTGGAAGCGAGAGGAGAAAGAGAGAGGGGCTCAATGAACCACGGGAGGTGCTACTAAACTGCCAAGCAGCCACTTCCTGCGAGCCATTCAGCGTTTAACTAAGGACCTTTGTGTGTGTGTGTGTGTGTGTCTGTGTGCGTGCCCACTGGAATTTTAAGGACCGCCCCCCCCCCCTTTTTAGACTAATTACACAGTGACATATTTCTGCAGATGAGGCCGTTTCCATGTCAGCGAGCACCGCCATCATCTGATTTGTGCGTGCAGTCGTTGCGCGTGGGATTGTGTGCGTACAGACGCTGCGTACAGTACGTTCACCTCCTGGTGCTGTGCGCTGTTTGTGTTGTTTGTCGAGGTGAGAGTACACAACTCCCTGTGGGTGAGGTGTGTGTGAGAGTGGATGAAGGGATTCGTTTCAGGGTGAAATTGTTCATTCTTTCTGGATAAGGAGGGAAGGGATGGTGGGTGAGAACGAGAAGGAGGATTCGGACTGGGGGGAGGAAAAGGAGGGGGGGAAAGAGTATGGGGGGGGGCTGTAGTCTCTTGTGGAAGAATACTCTCTTTCTTTCATTCACTCGTTCACTGAGGCCCGCTTTTAGATGGGCTCAGTATATCTGTCTGAAAGGCTTTCATGCATTTACTCATCCAGCTGAGAAACACATAAACACACACAAACAAGGCCCTACACAGTGTCCTTCAGTGCACTTCACCACACCACGTTGCACACACACACACACACACACACACACACTCTCTCACACAACAGAGAAAACCCTCTGTGTGTTTTTTTCCCATCAGATTTGGCTTATATTCAATTCTCTTGAAAAAAAAGCTCATAAAACCTTCTCTGATTTTTTATTGTTCTCTAAAATGTCTAAAGCAACTGTTTAACATTCGTCCACAAGGGCAGCTGCCGTCTGATGACTTTCACTGTGCAGAGGATGCTGATGAGGGCTTTTTCAGAAAAAGAGTGTTTTCGTTTTTTTTACCCCCACCACCTCTTTTTCTTCGAGTGCTGAAATTGGAGCTCTTACCCGAGGCATTAGACTACAGTATGTGTGTTCAGCTTTTTTTTCTTTTCTTTTTGTTTTATGCTCGAAACGCAGAGTCAGTGACGAGCTACAGCTAAACAGCTGCAGAACATTACAGGGGAAGCATGTGACCCAAAATAACACATATCCCCAGCTGTGGAGAGCAAGTCAGCAATTATCATTTCGGATGGTCGGGCTGCAGTTTGCCTGCTGGAAGAAATGATTTGAACGCAGTCTGAAAATGACAAAGAAAAGAGGTGAGTTGTTTGTTTTAGGCAGCAAGAGGATCAGCTTTACTGTCTTTCCAGGCCCTTTGTTTGAAACTTGAATACGGCGCGCTTGTTGCTCTTCGACTCTTTAGAGGTAAAGATTAGCTGAACGCGCACGAGGTCAGACACGGCCTCAGGGAAGGCGTTGAGGGTACAGTAGTGCACAAGGCCAGACCGCTCGTAGTAACACACCGACATGGAGAGGACGTCTCACGGAAGTGGACGGGATTGATCCTGTCAGCTAGAACACACAAACACGCTTCCCAGGGTGAGCACACGCACACGCTTACATGAGCAGACTGGAAGTAGATCAGTGTGTCATGGTGTTTAATGTTTTAGCCCCTCCCCCAGCACTGCAAGCTGATCTTCATGATGGATGTGAACACACACACACACACATACCGTACACATTTACAGGTTGTCTAAGTGCAAACACGCATCTATGACCAACCTAACCGTGCTGATTAGAAGCTAATTGAGCTCCACTTAATCTGTTTTTTCAGCCTAACGGTTAATCTAGAGGTGGGAGGAGGGTGAGGTTGCTGTAGGGAGCTGCTCATGACAGAGGTTGTAAACTTAAGACAATCCTAACACAAAAACATTTACTGAGTGTGACACTTTTGTGCACTTCTTTAAACTCCAAGCTGTGATTTAAGAGGTACAAAAGACCCAAACAAGCATTGTGGCGTGTGGAGTATGACCTCCTGCACACAGAAACAGCATGAAGTTCATGTGTTAAAACTCACAGTGTCACCTGTAAAAACATGTTAAATACATAGTTTTATATACGTTTCCAAATATTTTCAACATTTTCATGTGATCCCACGTGGAAAAAACCCACGATAAAATCATATTTTTTCAAAGCACAATATCTCTGTTAATAATCTTATAAATGAAAACATAAATTATAATACCAGAGATTAGGAATCTGACATGGAGGTCCTTTTCTGCTGCCCTCGGGTCATTTTAAACTTGTTAGAAAAGAAATGTTTAGCCTTTTTTAGGAGGAAAATACACATTAAAAAAGAGAAATAAACATGGCTAAACTTCTCCACTCTTGGTCGCGTCAGCTTATTTTATTATGGGGTACCTTTCATTTGCAGATTTTTTGATAACATTCTCATTATCTTTTGTCAAAAACTTTGTTTGCTAAGTCATCCTGTGGCCCCTTCACATTATTTTAAACCAGTTCTCATCTGTATTATATTTGTTGTAGTAAATGTTTGGAGCTCTTCAGATATTGATTAAATGCCTGTGTACTGTCCTGAGTACATTAAACAGGGAGGACTTGAACTGTTAAAGGTGCTTTTCTCAATCAATAAAAAAGATAGTTGTGCCTTAAAGACCATTTAAACAGTCAAGAGTATAATATATATTGTGTGACTGTAGTGTAATTATTGGCAGTAATGCAAGACCTGCTACTTCCCTTTATAATGCAATACCTTAATCTAAATAGAACTGCCTTTTTCAGCTTTATTAGTAATCATCATTTTGATTTGTTTGGTAATTAAAGCAATAAAAGCTGTCAAAAAAGGCACATTTTAATGTTTTTGATTCAAATTGTTATCTGTGAATCATAGATGATAAAAACAGCCAAAATATGTGCCATTCACCACTAAGTCTTCAGAATATTTTGTAATAAATGAGTCAAATCAGCAGAATCATGTTTTGTTGCCAACAAGACATTTGAAAACGTTTGAACATTGTTAAGTACAGTTTGTACAGTCACTGCCTGTGACGGGTATTGAGCCGGTAAAACAACCCCCAAATGGAGAACAATGAAACCAGAGACATTAGGTCAAAAATCAAACACGCTGAAAAAATATAGAATATATTGACAACTATCATGACTTCAACCAAATGCTTCTAAAACCATCAACTTTAGATATATTTTGTGTTGAGTGTGTAAGTAAATGCTAGCAACATGCTAAATGGCTTGGGTAAATAGTGAACATTGCTGTGTGCCAAACACCAGCATGCAACTTTTGTTTTTCTGAGCAGGAACCTTATGTATTCAACTTCATGGAACTACAAAAGCGATGACGCCACCCTGGAAAGGTCTAGAAGATGTAGTTAGATTATATCGTTCTTCAAGGTTCTCAGATTCCTTTGCAGTTTTTTCAGGAGCGTTCCTGTTTTTCCTGCATTGTCTTGCAGCACGACAACTCCAGATAGGAAAAATAATTCAACATGTCAGTGTGTTTGTAGGAATAGAAAAAGAAACCGCAACCATTTTAGACAAATTGCTGCAACAGCCTGTCTTTACCCACTTCTCCCTTTTACGCTTATTTTTCCACGGCTTGTTCCTCGTATCTCCCTTTGTTCCAGATTCACCCCCCACCCCACCCCTTTACTGTCTACACTCACTACCCTTTTTAACACTTCAAAGCTTTTGGAGGCTGAGTGATGGGTGTGTTGGTCTCTAGTGCACACAGTAGCACTTCCGCCCTCTCCACGGAGGTGTGCCTGTTTGATGATGCACAGATGCAGCAGAGCATACCCACAACCAATCATGCTAAACATCAAAACACCCAAATGACCTGCCATGATGTTTGTCCAAAGACTGCAGAGAGGAAGTTGCTTTTTTTATGTGCGTCTGTCTGCTCAATCACAAGGTCTGTCTGTGTATCTGGTTTCTGCTCATATCAGCTAACTGGCTTCCTGTATTCTTTATCCTAAATGGTCCACTTCCCAGTGATAAAGACCTGGATGTAATTMATTTGTACGCTGACTGAATCCAGCAAAAGCCTTTGATGGTTAAATGTAAAAGACAAAGTGTGTTAAAACTTCAAAGTGGTTTACACCATTTTTTCTCTCTCCTTCTTCTTTAGTCTGTTTTGCTGATTGGTTCTGTGGCTTTGATGTGTTTGGGCCTGGACCTTCTCTTCCTCCTCATCTACTCCTTCTGGCTTTGCTGCCGAAGATGCAAACGTGACGAGTCCTCGCACTCCCATACGCGCTCCCAGCAGCCCAGTGCTGACTGCTGCTGCACTGCCTGGTGCGTCATCATTGCCACGCTTGTTTGCAGGTAAGAGGCTAAATGAGAAAAACTTATTTGCTTAAAAAAAGGTCTTTGAGTATAATAGATCAGATTAGATTAGATTAGATTAGAGAGACCTTTATTGTCATTGTACAGAACACAATGAAATGACAGAATTCAAGATAGATAGATAGATAGATAGATAGATAGATAGATAGATAGATAGATAGATAGATAGATAGATAGA